ACACACACACACACACACACACACACACACACACACACACACACACACACACACCACACACGCATATGTTTTTTAAATGAACAATCTTTGCTTTTCCTTATGTTTCTGTTGCAGTGAGGGATTTGGATTTTACTTTTCGGTGTTGGGTTTAAAAAAAGAACTACGTACTTCAGTACATTTAATTTTGTCCACATTTATCATTTTTTTGTTTTACAGACTATTTTACTTGTTTGTGTGAAATGAGTCAAAAAATATCCCACTTAAAATAAATTAAAAATATAAATAAACTTGCATCCTATGTTTAAAAATCGGTGAGCATATATAAAAACATTTTGCTGGTTTAAGATTTAAATGTCCTCAAATAAAAAAGCTGCAATGTTTATTTAAATATGTTTTAAATTACTTAGCTTTTTTTAGAGCCCGATTAATTTTTTTCTTTATATTATAAAATAACATATAATTAATACATTTTCAATATGTGGAAAAACTGTCTGCTTTACAGAAATTTACCTGAATTATGTTAAAATCTTTTTATTTTTCTCCACAGGAGAGCGATCACACTGAGAGCAAACGTTGCACAAACCAAGAAGGAAACAGGTTAATAATTTATGAGCTCAACAGTAGAACGGATCGTGTCCTTGTGAAAACGTGAGTGGTAATGAGCTTATTTTGGAGCTGAAAATAGGAAACTGTTCACACAGTGTCTGTGTAATTGATACATAACCTACTGAATGATGTCATAAAAAACTGTTCACACAAGCAGCTAAAGCAACCTGACTGATCTGACATTCTGCTGCAGAAATTCAATGTCTAAACTGGAAAGATCTGGGTGGAAAAACGACTAAAAATACTTATTTCTATACTCAGTTTAAATTGAAACATTACAGTCAGGTCATTTTTGCAGGTGTGACGAAGGGCCACCTGAGATGAACTGAAGGGCCACATGTGGCTCCAGAGCCTCAGGTTGCAAACCCCTGATTTAGAGACTTATCCACACCTCAGTCCTGAGCCGAACAATCATGTGACAAATATCAACCTGATCCTCAAACCACCATCTCTGCAGTGGATTTAACTTAACTGCAGAATATTTTTAAAAAAAGGCATTTAAACTTTATTTTTTTACAACTTAAATGTCTTTATAACACATGTCTACACAGCACAATGCTGCACTTTACATTTAAGCATGGATAATATTTATTGCATACCAATCCTGACCTCTGTGGGACTTTAGTGTTATGTTAGAAATAAGCAGAATACATTTATAT